TTCGAGCTCTTCTGTTTTAGAAAATAATTTATACATGTATTGTGGTTTAGATATACGTATTTCACCTAAAAACTATAGGATTTCATTTTTTTTATGCATAAAAACTCAAATCTTCGGGAACCATAATGTGATTTTCGTTGGTTCTAGTTGAACTAGTTTCCTGCAGTCATTCTCTATGAAATCTTATTTTCTTATGATTTTAAATATTACATTATAATATTCTTTTTCAGAACGATAGAATAAGCGCCAAAGAATTTTCTAAAAAATCACTCATTTTAATATGTACTTTCATTCAAACACGCTTAGATACATCATAAATGTTATATAAAATCTTGATTAAATAATTTTTCATTTGTTTTCTAAGTATAATTTTTCTTTTATTTCTTATAACCGAAAGATGCTCAATTTCCATGTGACAATATTATTGTTAATTTTTTCACAAAAAAATATGGGAAAATTGCAAAAATATCACTTTTTATRTGCACATTTGTAAAAATGCCACTTAGGAGTGTTTATTTGCAAAAATACCACCAATTATAGATTTTTAAACCCTATATCTTAAAATTCTAAACACTAAAAAATATTTTGACCCCTAAACCCTCCTAAACCCTCCTAACTAAACCCTAATAGAACATAATTAACTCAAACATATATAATATAAAAAAAAAAATTTTGAAAAAATGGTATTTTTGTAAAGATTTCAAAAATGTAGCATTTTTGTAAAATAGCACTTGAAAAATAGAATCTTTTGAAATTTCTCAAAAAATATCATTGTTAACTAACCTTATCCCTAAAAATGGCAATAAATATCAAACAATTTGCCATCCTCAATTATTGCGCTCACTCTCCTCCTCATATTATTCTCTCACTCAAGGTACTCTCTCTCTCTCATTTCAGTTTTCTTGAGTGACTAGATTTCAAAGATTATGATATGAATATTAAGTTGTAGTACTTTGATTAAAAAAATAAGTTTTGATATCAATTACTGTTCCGATCAACTTTTTCATTTTAATAGTTGCTTTTATTTTACATTGATCAAGATTAATAATTGTTAATTTGAGTTTGATCTACTACACTTCCTTAGTGGCCAATTACGTATTGCGTTTCGATATTCTTCACAAGTGTATAAACTTCCTTTTCGAAGTGTATTTTGATATATATTAATTTTTTTCTGGAGATATTTGACGGAGCTTAACGGCGACAATGTCTTGGGACGACGGAAAACACTCGAAGGTGAAGAAAATCCATCTGACGTTTGATGACGTCATCAATTCGATCGAGGTCGAATATGACGGAACCAGCCTTAAGTCTCAGCCACGTGGCACCATCGGCACCAAATCTGACGGGGTTAGTAAACACTGTTTAACCATTATTCAGTAACTATAACTC